AGTTATGTATAGTATTTTACCTTATTATTATTTTATGGTGTTAATGGTTGTGAGCCACCTCGGGTCCCCTATGGGAATAAAGGTGGTGTTTAAACTACACAAACACATCACATATATATCTTGGACACTGCAGTCTTAAAATTCATTTGCCATTCAAACTGAAGCATCAAGAAGCAGTGGAATTTTCTTAAATCTCATGTATGCTTTTATTACTAAGATTTGAGTGCACATACGAAGCATTTTTGTTAACTTCCAGCAATGATTCTTCAAGCTTTTACTTCTTTTTCTTTCCATGAATAAAATCTGAAAGATTCGTGCCTAGGGTACAATGTTCTTTAAAATCTAAACACTTTGTCCAAGTTTCACATGGCTGAATGTCTTAAGTCATTTAGTTGTTATAGTGCTCTGAAATTCACATGTAGTGACATGAAGGAAAATAATGATTGGAAACAAGGTTGTTGTTTTCCTCATGTCTATAAGAGTTATGTATAATTAAAAGTCTGGAGTGCATCTTTGGTTCATTAATAAACCTCATGCATGCGTCCCACTATACAATGGAAAACTGCCTGAACGCAGGACCTGATCACTGCTCACTGAAGACAGATGTTAGCATTGCTTTCAACTTCGGTGGAGAAAAGAATAAAAGCATGTTTGTTCTAAAACGTTATTCTTTTTTTAAAAAAAGTTTTATTTGACAGATTTAGCCTAAGTCATTTCGTTGCCTGTGGCAGAGCCACAAATTTTTGCTCCCCTGTCAAGGCTGACCCAGGACCAACCACATTATTTTGAGATGAGGCAGAGAGTCCCCCAAGCACCTGTCATCCCACCCTTGCAAGAACAACCCCCCCCAAAAAAAATTTAAATCATTAAATACATACTGCCTTTATATGAGACTCCAGGCCAGGTGCCTAAGCTGGGCATCTTACTCTGCTTGTTGGCCCTGTTTTGCTCTTATGTCTCAAACAGCTGATAGATGCACAGAAACAAAGTATTTCCTTATTTTAATTTATTTTACTTTACCTCATGTCACAAAAAGCTTCCCCTGCTCACTTTCTGCATATCTACTGGCTGTTCAAGTCACAACAACAAGATTCTAAAAATAGTAGTAAACCTAAAAGGAACTTGTGTCTTCTGAGTGGAATTATTTCTTGGCGTGCATTTGTAGTTTTGAAGTCGATTTTTGGAACTAATATGGTCAGTGCACTGGGTAAGCACATGGAATCAAAATATTTTTTTTTCATTTGGTAAACAAAAAATGATTTAAAAAAAACCCAGCTGACATGATACAACATGACTTTTATGTATTCCTTAGCTGTAGTACAATTTGCAACTGTGGATACAGTTGCTCAAAAATAAATGTAAAAGAAGCAGAAATTATTTGTTTTCAAGCTGTCATCTACTTCTTTTATGAAAAACCAGTATTGCATTTCAGAAATGTTCAAGCCTCCATGATACTACTCATTTTAACAAACACTTTTCTTGCATAGTATTTGGGAATAAGTCATCTAATATGGCTAATATTTTGACCATAAAGCCACAATGTCTCTGACTAGATGTAATACCAAATCATAGTTTTCCTACAGTAACCCACTTTATGGTTTCAGATTTCCAGACACACCGCAAATGGTTTGACTTTTCATCTACTGAACACTCAGTTTTGTCTGCTCACCTCTGTCTCCATGATGTAGCAGTTTTCTTGAGGCAGAGAGTTATTAATTCAGACAAATGTAACCATGAGTACACAATAATTTTCAAGTTAGCTTCAAACCATGGTTTCAAATTTTACTTTGTAACTTTTTCCAAACCATAGCTTATAAACTAATGTAGGATGCCTGGACACCATCAGAGAATCTTGGCACAAAATGTGAGTAGATTAAGTTCAAAAATAAATCTAGTACAGTACCTTTGCTTTATTAAACTTATTTAGACTCTACTATGGTCCAATGAAAATTATCTTCCATTAAAAAAAAATCCTCTACACAGCTTTCGGTATTGTCACTTTTAAGATCCTGGTAGATACAATTTTTTTGATCATAGATGAGAAAAGTAGAAAATAACACATTAATAATGGACTGAACCAAACTGCAGCAAGAACTTTTTAAATTATTTGAAGTAGAGATTAACTGTGGACAGGCCAAGTAAAATGGTTACAATAAGTAATTCACTTTCCCCCCCCTAAAAAATTGCTTTTAGTCTTGTTTTTACATAATAATATGATAATCTGTTGGGTTCGCTTTTAATGACAATCAGCGATCAAGAGGCTGAAGCATGTTCGTTATGAGGAAAGGTTGCAACATTCATTGTTAATTTAGCGGAGGAAAAAGTTAGTATAGAGATATTGATATAAGCCTATAGGATGATGAATTGTGCGGAGGAAGTGAACGGAGAGTTTTTAAATCTCCACAAGGTCATCCAATAAAGAAGAATTGTTGGGGAGTCAGGAAGTACTTTGTCATACAGGAAATACTTTTTCACACAGCCCATACTAACTGTGGGATTCATTGCCACAAAATGTCTGCCAAAATGGATGGCTTTAAAAGAAGGTTAAATAAACCAAGGAAGTATAAGGCTACACATGGGTTCTAGTCATGTTGGCTGCATGGTACCTAAGCTCGAGAGGCAGAATGCCTTTCAACACCAGCTACTGGAACAACTAGTCCAACTGCCTGAACTGTCATCTGAAAAAACTACACCACTAATTAATTTTGATGGAGCAACTCTCTTTTCTTACACTTTACTTTTTTGTGGACAGTAATTATTCCATTTTTTAAAAATCCAAATGATCATGAATTAGAATTGTAGAATTTTAAAAAAATCCTCTTGGGGTCATCAAATCTAATCCCACTTGTTGATGGAGAAAATCAGCTAGAAGCATACCTGGAAGACTGCAATCCAACTTCTGTTTAAGAACATAGTAGAGTCCACCATCTTCCAAAGTAATCCATTCTACTGTCAAACAGCTCTTACTTTCAGGAAGCTCTTCCTAATGTTTCGTTAAAATCCCCTTTCTCGTAATTTGAATTCATTAGTTTGAGCCTTGCCTTGGCAGAAAATAGGCTTGCTTCATTTCAGTGGAGGATAACCTTCAAAGGTGGGATGACAGCTATCATGTCATCTTTCAGGTTTTTATACTTCAGCCTAGATATACAGTACTGAACTTCCTCAGCTATTCCACACAGCTTTGGTTTCCGGATCCTTTACCATTCTTTACCATATCAATATCCTTCCTGAACTGGTGTGCACAGAACTAAACACTGTGTTCTGGGTAAGGCCTGACTGTAGCAGAATAAGTGGCACTTCTCGTGATCTGGAAGTGAGAAATAAATTATTATCCCAAAAATCAACATGTACTTTCAAGTGGGATCTTTGAGCTTCTGCTATCAACTTTTAGCAACTTCTGGCAGCATGCCACTAAATTCAGCAAGGGTGGAAACTAATGGAACGACAAAAATGAGCATGGCAGCGCATGCACCTCTATGCACACCTTTATAATTATCTTTATACTAAAATAAAAGGGTAGAAATAATATACCAGATATCTAGAAAACAAACTCATAAAAAGCTTCTATACTTCTTGCATGGTTAATAATAGAATAACTGGGCTTCTGTGTGGTGAAAATAATTGATTTTTGTTACTGGACGTTTTCAGTGCTTGAATCTGTGGTTATGACTATCCATCATCTCGTGAGGAACCATATACTTAACCCCAGAAGAATCGAATGGTTAGAAACTTGATAATACAATATCATTGTAATAGTCTTCTGGGAAACTAAAACAGAAATACCACTTGCACTAGACTACAAGCACTACAGAATCCATAAAAAGTGCAGAATTGTCAAGCACAACAACATAAAAACGCAATGCTGTTGATATTGAGGAACCATTTCTTTATTAGTTAAAGCAAAAGCACTTCTGGTCAAGGATGTAGCATGCTGGGGAAACATCTTCCTTAAACAAACAAACAAACAAATCTTGTATGGGGAAAATGACTACATTTGGTTGTGGAAGATGAAACGAAGTGTTCCTCTTTAGTTTCACATGGAAATTATTTTAGCAGTTTAGGCTGCAGATTAAGTGAACAGATCAAGAGCTTCCAAATGGTACATCTACACTACACATTTTAAACAGTTGGAACTAAGGAGAATGTGGTGAAACTCTATGAAATCTGGGAACAACAGTTTTGACAAAATCTTTGTCACTGTGTGACTCTTCAAAGAGTTAGAAGTCCAATGAAACAATTTTGTCAAACTACTTTGAAAGTTTTAAAAAAGGCTCTTTTATATTATCTTAAAAGGAGCAAGTGAAGAGAGAAAGCACTCTCCAGATCAAGCCCATCTGGCTATTGCTCTCTTCTCCCATTGGTTCCAATTACATATGTTGATGCTATTTCATTTGCAACTGCTGGCAGATGTCTTTGAAGGAGGAGGGCTCTGACATGGTCTCAGCTTGCTCCTCTCTCTTTTGGAACCTCTTCCATTGGACCACTGGTGATTAATGGTCCTCTTAGAAGCCAAGCTGGAGCAATATCTGCAATCTTCTCCACCTTGATTCTTTCCCCTACTCTTTCTAGTAGTTATCCTTGTTCTTATCTCAAAGCAATTTAAAGGAATCAGGATTAAAGGAGAATAGGGATTTCTGCACTAAATCCAAAACCTTCCATCTGCTTTATTAGGTATAGTGTGCATTTCATTCATTTTATTTATACTCCAGTTCTCTCCAATAAAGGGATTTAAGGTAATTTACAAAATACCATATGTGAAAGAGAAATGCAATTAAAAGCAAAATATTAAAAACAATTACAGATGCTATGTGTACATGATTTCTCACATGAAATGCCATAGACCGTTTCTGTTTGGTTGTTTGAAGTACTATTCAAATTTCAGTACCTTTTTTCTGTTCTTACATTAAGCTGCACCTACAAAGAAAAATGAGCATCATAATTCTATTCTAAAATATGTATTCCTGCTTTCTTTAAGAAAGCATTTATATGTTAACACTAGGTTGTTTGCTAACTCCATCAACAACATTTTACAATATATCTAGCAGAATATCTGTTCATCTACTCACAAGTTCAACATCCCCACTTTCAAACACATTGTTGTATTGTGTTCATACATTCCATAGTAGGATCATGAAGCAGAGTAATGTAGACTTTTATGAAAGTCTCTTTCTGTCTGTTCATTATTTGATTTGCTAAAGTTACCAAACTTTACTAAAATAAATAGGCATTCATCTGACCTTTTCTCAGCAAATAAATGTTTAACATTGGCATTAAGAGCCCCGTTGATGTCAATTTTTTAGAAAGGCAAATCCAAATGGTTAATTCTAGTCACATTTAGCCAGAGGTCCCACAGTTTCAAGCAGTCCTACTGGGAGACATGCATACATTTGAAATATAAGTGCTGAATTCAACACTAAAAATTAGTTGAATACAATGGAACATGCATAGAAATAGGCTGGATTTCCTTGACAACTTTGTTGCTCTGTGAATGTATTTTAGGACATCAGCAACCAAACACTTCCTGGCAATTAATGCTTACTTCCTTCAATTAGAAAAAAACATAGACAAGTAAAATTATGTCTGCAAACTCTTAATTTAGTTCTGTCCAGTTCCATTAAAGACATGCGTACACCAAAATGTCACTTTATTTACACTGTATTCCTTAAAATGCCATTGTCAGATACTTAATACAGCTTTAACATGACTACCGTTTCTGTTTAGGAAAATTATGGAAAACTGATGAAACTGGTTGAATATGGTCATGGTTATAGTATGATCATGACAAAAATATCAAGAGCAAAGCAGAACTTCTACAAAACAGTTAGTGATATGCATGCTCTTTTTTTAATTCATCTAGTAACTTGATATATGCAAGTAATAAAATGTGTATTTCCCAGATCTTTTGTAGTGGAACCCCCCAGCTCTGTGCCAGGTTAAAATCATCCTACATACCCAGAAATTATAGCTGCAGTTTTGTCCTCTTTGTTTTACATTTTCATTTGTTATGGCTGTTTGTTTTTATGATATTGTATTAATTTGTATACTATCTGGGATTCCTCTGGACAAAGGTCATGGGAACAGTATTTGAAATAAAGGACCTCAGTTCTAATTTTAAGGAGTTCAATTAAAAAAGCAACAGGAAAATGTTCTGATTTTTTTTTTAAAAAATGAATTATAAAATTATTATACTGAAGTAATGTGAATTTCTTCAACCCTCAAATTCATGTTTTCTAAGTAATAGCAGCCTATGACATGAAGGGCAGGAGCACTCCTTTCACAATACTTTTTTTGGAATTTACCATAATCCTTTTAACTCCTGTAATTATGCGTAGGTTCCAGAGTGACTAGAGTGTTAAAAATACCTAGGACTGTACATGGAATGCTTTCATTTCTCCAAATTCTAAACGTTCTACAGTCCTCTGTGCTAAAGGAAAGAAACCATAAAGAAGCTATGTTTACTTGGGAGCCTTCATCTTTTGGAAGCAAAATAATGTAGCTTCCGAAATTTCTTTGTTTCTGTAATCTGAGACATGTAATCTATGTATCAGATATCATGTAGCTGTTACATGCTGACACTGAGCTGAGCTGTAAAGCAAGTGGGATGAAAAAGGGAACATGAGTTTCAAATCTCAATTTTTTAATAACACCTTCCTGCCAAATATTAGAGAGGGAGATGTTAACTCAAATGCCTTTTTTAAAAGATCGAATCATTCAAAAGTCTTTCTCAGTGTTGAAAAAGCACAGTCTTACGTGATGAGATATGGAAAATACTTCACCTTCTGGTGGTGAAGGCTATTCTGTCTAGCATTGGTTTGGGTAAATGACTGGCCAAACACGATGCAAGTGACCGTGACACTGGTCAGTCCATCACATTATCTGTGGGCAGTACTTAGGACTGAACAGCAAAACACACTTGCTTTTCCCTCACTGCAAGTGTATTTACAAGACTAATTCAAGCCATCAGAAAATTAGAATTTTTTTTAATGATGCAGAGGTGTATATATTCCTCATAGTGCTGCATTATCATTCAAAGGTCAGGTTTAATTTAGAACATAACTGCAAGTAAGTTCCATATTTAGTTTAGCTATGATGTCTTCCTATTTCACATACGGGTCAGAGTCAGCCAGAGGCAAAACATCGAGGTGCCACCATTTCTTACCCTTCTTTGTACAAAGTTAACTGCTGGTATTGCAATGAACAAAGGCTAAGAAATGCTACATGGCATAAGCTTATGCAAAACAACATATGGTGAAGTAGGGTACAATTCACACATGGTTATGCCATAATACATTTGTTAGGTTTTTAAGATTCCGCAGGATGTGCGTGCCTGTGTGTGTGCACGTGCGTGACTGCGTGCCCTTGGAAACTGGCATAATGCACACCTGTTGCAATACTGTGGGAGAGTGACGTTTTATTAAGAAAATCTTACCCCTCTCCACCAGATACAGTTGCTCATATTTTTGAGAGTGTTTGCTTTTCATAAATCTTGCAGCTTATTTTTTGGGAGGGTTTGGGAAACAATGCAGAAGGCCTATCCAGATGTACAATAGGAACATCAACGAAACAAATGTTTCTGAGTACACACGGATGAGGCCAGTAGGCTTGGTTTCAACCCTCTTGAAATCTTTGAGCTTTAAACCATTGCTTTCGAGGTGACCATTACTATTAGAGTGAGTAATCATGCTCTGTAAGGTTTAAGTCTAGACTTCAAGGCTCTGAACACACCTTGTCCTCGGAAAGAAAGAAAAATGAACCCAGGCTGCAATCTATGGAACATTTTGACTAACTAGTAATTTTCAGAGTGATCTTACTTGCATTAATAGCTGTGTGCATTAAAAGCATCCACTTTGTAGCTATTATAAACATGTGTTCCTATATCGCTAAAGGTACATTTTAGGAGGGAAATGCAAATTGAGTTTTAAGTTCTCTATCCCATCTTTTTATTCATTCTAAACCTGATATCTGAACGGCATTTTTCCTACCCTTTAACTCAGCTTTTTTAACATGATGCAGAACTTTTGGCCTTGCAGCAGTTTTGAACTACAGTACTGTTCCCACAATCCCCTCAAAGACTTTTAGGTTCAAAATATCTGGAGGGCCACACCTGACCTGGGGAGGGAGTCAAAAATCCACAACGCACGTAAATTTAAAGCAAAATAATTATTCCATCTTGCAATTTATATGCATTCATATACATATACATATATGCATTTGCCTTGTTCTCTTGAACTTGCTGCCTGCCTGAGCCAGCGGAAATATTATGTATCTAAATTAGGTCATTCTTTAAATTTGGTCTAGCAGTTAGTAGGAATCTATTTACTGGATGAGAGCAAAGTCTGGCGTTTTCATAGCAGTTTCGCAATCCCCGTCAGCGCCTGTGTAGAGATCATATTACCGGAGATCACAAGGCTTTGGCACAAGGTCTGGAGTTCTGTCAAGAGAGAGAGTGTGTGTGTTTGTGTGTGTAATGCAGGCACATTCGATCCCCTGTCACTAGTACAGCTTGCAGCCTTGACGTTTGGGGGGAGGGGGAGAGGGGGCAGCCGCGCTTCAGTTTCATCCCTTGATGCTAGTCCAGATGTCCATTTCAAACTTTCCAAAGAATGTCTTTATTGCAGCTGCTGAAAAGGCGGCTTTTCCTTGGCGATGTACACCGTGTTGGAAAAGCCTTTAGGGGTCCTGGGAGAGCCTCGCCTCTCCAACCTAAGCACGTCGCCAAGGAGGTCCTCTGCCCCGGGTCCGGGTGGCTTCTCTTCAGGCGCCGTTTAGCCCCACGCACGGCAAAGCCAACACTCCTGGCCAGCCCTTCGCCACGGCGAGCCCCGAGGAGAAGCCTTTTCCAGCCAGTGAGCTCTTGCTGCCGCCGCCGCCGCCCTCTCGCACACTGCGCGCCCTTCCCGGGGGTGTTCGCAGCCCCCCCCCACGCGCGCCAAGTCTTTTTCTGCGGAGTCCCCGCTTCTTTTGTCTCCGAGACGCCCTGCGTCTCTCCTGGCGATACACCCTCGCCCCGTCCTGGCGCGCCTTTCCCTTCCCGGCCTTCGTCAGAAAACTCCCGGCTCGCCGGCCCGCAAAAACATGCCGCGCTGCTCGTCGTCCTGCCCCTGGCACGCATACGCAACCCGCGCACACAGACACAAAACCCCGGAGAGGCAGGCAGAGCGAGAGCGCGCCGACTGCCTGGCTGCCCCGAGGAATGCGCGGTATGCAGGAGGCAGAAGCAACCC